TTTCGATATTTGTAAGTAACAATTTGAACCCTCAACTGGAAACAGGATATTTACATTTGCTATCAATATATCCAATGAAACTTTATTAATGATGCAGATAAATTATTCGTTCAAACGTTTACATTACTTTTCAAGATCCATTACGATGAACAGAGCTCTCAATGTTTGCATAAATTTCTTAGGAATCACAATTTTAAATACAACGTTTCGAATAAAGGAAACATCGAAACTCGCTGCTTTCCTGGCTCTTTCCTTCCAGAAGAGCGAATTTGCAGAGGACAATTTCACGAAGTACCAGTTAGTTGAGGTTGATCGATTAGCAAGATAACATTTGCCAAACTGAATGATAAGGGGATGATCTCGCTTTCGATTCTCGCTCTAGATAGGTGTAAATATTTTTCTACCTGCATCGAGATTAAACGCCACTGGCTTTTACGAGTTTTATCGTTACACGTGTGTTGCTTTTGTCTGTGACACGCGACTGATAACACAAGTTCGTGGAGGGGTAACGATTTTCGATCGCGCGTGACGATAAGATATTACACGTTCATCCATAAGAAGCGAATCGATCGCGAATATTAGACGCAATTGCGATGTGTTCCCCATCTGTCGAACACTCCATTGTGACGTATAGCGTAATTTTAGTATGGTGATGCAACTTGAATAAGCGAGAACAGTCTCCTCTATCGAAAACGAAGCCGATTTCTTCGATAATTCTATCGGTTAGAGAGGATGCTTGTCTCTTTTTTTTTTTGATTTCTCTCTTTTTTCCATCTTCTTCGATCCTGAAATTCTTTGAAGGAGGAGAAGTTTAAGACGCGGCTTAAAAGTCGAATTATTTTTCTCGATTCCTGGTCGAAATCTTGAGCACGAAAGTGTCGCTCGAATGTCGGTTTGAAATTCATTCAACATCTCAAGACTTGCCGTTATCTATCACATATCGTGTTTGAATGTTTGGATAAATTAAAGAGGGATATATAATCGGTTAAAATGGATATATAATCTATCTTATATGCATATCGCACTCTTGTACAGAAGTAGAAGATACGATTGGAAAAACGTGTTTTTCGAATTGTCACTATATGAAAGTTTAGGGTTCCCTAGGATTATAAAGTGAAGGTAAAGAAAAATGGTACTAGATATTGTTTGACGAGCATCATTCTTGATTTCATCTTCGGGAATGAATATGTTTATTGCATTTGTGAGAAATTTAAGAGTGTATACATGTACAAAATGCATATCTATAAGAAAAAGTGTTGCAAATCTTTCTATTTGAAAAGATTGTACGGAGTTTCGAATCAAAATTTTTAGAAAAATCTCTACGAAGATTTAAATACGAACGAATCATGTTTCATTTTTGAAAAAAATCTACTTTCGTATAAAATATCCGGGGTGCAATATTTAATATGCGATTAAAAAAAAATCTTTTTTAAATTCCATTTTTTATCATTTTGAAAATATGAATTTGCATAAGTATATACGAGTCCAGTTGTAATAATATTCAAATAATAATTTTCGAAAACATGTTATATCTAATGTTAACTAACGAATCTTAAAAATCTGAGATATTATGATCGTTTGATTATTTCATATTTGTAAAATCTAGAATTTTCTACTTTCAATAAAACTACTTTGACTTTGTTCCTCGATTTAGAAAAAATTGGAAACGATCGGTTAATCGATTTCTTTGGATATTTTTTATATGCTTGAACTATAATCATACATTTTCTTTTCTTTTTTTTTTTTTTTTGTTATGCGAATACTATGAGACAGGGTTATGTTCCATATACAAGTATATGAAAGCCTTTTGTACATAGGCGAACTAGTTGTTAGCCTTGATGAAGTTCGTTGCTTTTCCGTACGCAATGTCTCGACCTCTGAAGGCTACCTGCATTCATTAGGCGTTCAGCCGCAAAATTTTTTTGTCGCCGCCAACAGACGAAGCCGTTTCACTGGCCTCGTTAATCTTTCCTTCCAAATGTGGAGACAAGAAAGGGCAACCCGTACGACAATTGATATTTTCGTCGTTGCTCTTTGTTCCTCTCTGCCAGATGCAAAAATGGAAATCCATTTTATCGTCACTGACGATTTTGCTCGCGCGTTTATTTATATTTAACCAATAAAATAAATTATCTCGTTGTCCAGTTTCTTTCAACAATCTTTCAAATTTGGAAAAGCAACTTTTTTTGTACTCTCGAAAGGGAGTTTTTTTCATTGATTATTCGATGAACACGAAGAACAAAATAAAATGTGTTTTTCAAACGAATTCGTGCATTATATTATAACACTAAAATTATCAATTAAACTGACTAATTTGAAATTTGTTGTTTTTTATTATTAGCAAAACTTGCAGGTACAATTCAATTTTATTTTCGTAATATCTTAATTCTAATCATTCGTGTGATGCATTTAGATACATTATAGGTAGTTCTAATGGATTATTATCATTATCTCTCAGATTGATCGAAGAAATAAGATATTCCAATGTCTCAAATTACGTGCTTTAATTCGAGCAACAGCTCTATTCGTTAGTCCTTATAATCCTATGCATCGACGTCGTGTCTGGCCCCCAGATGCGACACTCGCTATCCAACAACTATTGCAATTTCTGCCTGTAGCTTTAGATATTGACTCTTTTGCGTTTTAGTCTCAATCGATCCATACTTTGCATAGAGTGCTCCGCCAGTTTCTCATCTAACGATAAATCAATTAGAGGGAACATCAGACGCAGAACATTAAGCGAGCAATTTTCCAGTTCATCATTGTGTCACCTCTCGAACGCCTCTCATCGAGACGTTCGGATCATCCTTTCCATTTTCTTCCTCATTTAATATTCCTCTCCATTGAAAATAGCATTCGTTAACCTCTTGACTTTCAAATCTTTTTTTAAAGCTAAATCTTTCGTTGAGAACGAAATCGATGAAAATTTTTTTTACAACAATTAATAGTGAAAATAAATGTTATATCATTGTTCCATAAGTTGCGTATTTTTATTGATATTGAACAGATTGCGGATTTTTGTACGTATTTTTCATATTATATATATATACATATACATTTTTCTTCTTAACGTCAACGTTTTATTTGCACGTAATAATTATTATAAACGAGATTAACTGTGCATTCTTAATAATAAAACTTCTTGCTATTTTGTAGGAAATTTTTTTCAAATAAACAATAACACTTTGTCAAACAATCACAAGAAATTTTTTATATAATATCGTAGCACAAATTTTATACAAGTAAATATAATAAAATTAAGTAACATGTTGCAAATACTATATTTTGAACAACCAAATATATATATATTTTAATTGAATAAACTTATTCTAGTTTCACTAAAAATCTGCAATCTAGAAATATCGTAATTTTCGAATCCATAGAAATTGCAATGACGAAAATAATTAATCAATTATAATACCACGTGTCTTTATTATATTCTTAACGAAGCGTTGTAATTAAGGGATTAAAATATGTCGAAGGATAAAATCCTCGTACATATATATCCATCCCGTTCAATGTGAAAAATGACCAAAATTTCCAAGCATCCGACGGTTCAATGATTCGAGCAATGAATTTCGTTGTACGATAACTTTCTCAGATATAAAATGATCGAAGGTTGTTCGATTGGAAACTTTGTAACAGGTTAACGAACGAAATCATGAATGTCTGGTAATCATATTCCCGCACATGGCTGTTAGTTCGATGTACTTAAATGTTTCGAGGACATGTTGCTCAATGCAAATGAAAATGATTCATCGAGACCCATCTCGAAAACTGTACTTCACACCATGCCGCACGTATTTATGATTCACATTGAAATTCGACTCGTTCGATGTGCAATTTGTTTCGACAGAATTTTTTCGTTGTTACATCAATGTAATTTTAAAAGAGAATTTTAAACGATAATTGTTTAAGTTTAAGGACTTATCGATTTATATATAAATTCTAATTTCTCAACGTGATATCGATCCAATATAGATTTCCCCCGTTTGATCAGTTTTTCTTTAGGCGTTGGGAGAAATCTGATGGAGATCTCGTTTATGAGGTCAAGGTGTTTTAATTTAGGAGAAGGACTTTGATTTGTATCCCGATGATGCTCGATTTCCATTTTTTTTTTCCATCCTTTGCATTGATTCAATTTTTATATATTTAGTGCACACATTATGTATATATATAGATATACAAAATGATTATTATTTTTAGATCAAATTAGAGACAACAGAAAAGAAAAATTCAGGATAATTAATAATTAAGATAATAAAATTTTCTCTTTAATCTTGAAGCTTCTCGATTATATTAGTTATATGAAAGACTTCTAAGAAGTTTAAATACATATGGTAAAAAATGTTTTATATTATAACAGATTATATATTGTATATATATTATAAATTTTCTAATTTGAGAACTGTTTTGAAAAACTTATTATCATTGGATGCTAAATTTAAAGATGCATCTATCATTGTATCACAATAGAGAAAGAATCGACAATAGTTCATTGGATATATATTAGATTCAATTTTTTTACTAATTAATTCTTTCTTTTTTTTCTTTTTAAATTTAACATTTCCCAAAGCGATTGAAAATCTCGTAGAAACGTAACGGAATCTCGTTCTCGATCCAAGAAGAATCTATCGCTTGTAATATGAATGCAATTTATTTAAGGCTGTCGAAACTAATCACTGTTGACTTTTCATCTGGATTTCCCTCGGATCTTTATTTGAAAAGAAAACGATGATCTTTTGATAGATGCTTTCGTATAATATTTCTCAATAGATGCATTCATTTTCCTTTCATCGACATTCTCATTCTTACTTAGCTTTAGGGAATTTCTTACATTAGCATATCTTATTAATTTTATCGAGAGTACTATGTTATTATTCCAGTTATTCAATAGTACTCACTTTAGAGCTTGCCATTAATTTCGGAAACGAAGTTTCTTTTCAAAGAATATCGTGTTTATAACACATTATTCGAATCCATCACTCCCTCGTGTCGTATTTTTCTTTCCTCTCTTCGATCAAATTTTTTAGAAATCTCGTTCGGATGAACATCCGTACGTGGATGTTCCGGACAAAGAAACGATAAAGCGGGTACTATTGTAATTGTAATCATATATGTAAAAAGATACAAAAATTCATAGAATGTAATTATAATCTTTACCTTATCAGTGGCATATGAGCTCTTGCTTGTAACGAAAATCTCATTATCAGTGAGTGTGGAGAATCTCAGGTGTCAGGGCAGGGACGAAACAGTCCTTCCACCGCGTACACATCCGATTTACTTTTTTATGCTCTTGTACATGTAATACACATATACATATATATGAATATAATTCATTAAATAAGCGTACATAACACTAAAATGAAAGATGATTTTTTTTTGTTAAGATTGCTCCTATTTCTAGTCTTGATGGGATATTAAGGATTGAAGCGAACCTTGTGAACCTCGAATAGATGTAATGCGTATTTAAATAGGAAATTATATATAATACCTCGGAGAGGAATACACCGTCCAAGATCTTCCGAATTGTGAAAAAGTTAATTATAGACGGTAAAGAAATGTTTGAATTAAATTAGAAATAATAATATTTCTAATTATGTTACAAATTATTTTGAGAGAAATAGTTTGTAATATAACGTAATCGCTTTATTATTTTGAAGAATAATGATTGAAACAGGGCCTCGATTAACCGATTTAATCGAGCATTTCGGATAATCGAGATCTAGAAAGAAGTTATTATTACAGATCATTCTGAAAATTCTGCATACCATTCTGTAAACCATTTTCATTAGAAATTAATATTTTTATTTGAAATAGTTTTTTATAAATAATAATTGGACAATCGATTAAAGAAATATAGGAAAAATGGATGAATGAATAGAGGAAATGATTGTAAAATATATTTAATAATATAATGATATATAATATGTGCAAATACAATAAAAATTATGGAAATTTTCAAGATGATTCACAGTATTGAAAATAAACTTTAAATGTATAAAATAGAACGAAAAAAGTGCATTCTTATTCTTATAATCATGTTTAGATGATATCTGTTCACGTTTCTTTTCAACTAGTGATAGTTTCATCGAATGATAGTTTTCATTGAACTTATAAAAAAATTTTGAGATTCTCGATAATCGAGACTCTGATCGATGGAGGATCGTAAATAATTGATTGATCGAGGTTCTACTCTATTAATAATTAGTTATTATTATTATTATTATTATTATTATTAATAAAATTGAAATCTGCTTAAAAAATTTTATGAAAATTTCCAAAAGATTACTTTTGAAAGTTACGTAAGTGGTAAACCAAGAGAGAAATATTATTTATTCCACGAGAACTTGATCACGTACCAAATTTATATCTCTTCGAGGTATTTATTCGTGATAACGAGATAATTAGGTACGAGTGAAGGTATATATTTGTCGAGTGTCATAGACAATCGAATTTTAAAGATCGATGCGAGCGATGATAACTACACTAGTGCCCTCTTTAGCATCATAGATTTTTTTGGCGCCCATTTTAAATATATACTGAACGGTTAACATCTAAATAACGACTGATCCATTACTCGAATCCATGTTTCCTCGCGTCGAGTATCGATATCTTATTATATTAAAAATCTTCTTTCTCATTTTTTTTCTCATTTTAGAATCGAATTCTCATTCTAAATCCAGACTCTGAACTGTGAGCGTTAAAGTGGACACTACTGTATATCGTGCGTGTTTTGCTGGTCAAAGTAACGAGTCTTTATATTAGAAAATAATCATATATGTGTAAGAACGAAGTGCGTGTGCAGAGTGGAAGATTCGTGACGGATAGCTTCTGCCACTGTTCGTAATCATCTGTTATATCTGGTTATTTCTCGCCATCGATAACGTGCACCGGATTCACTTCTCGATCGTTAACAAACACGATGACGTAACCAGAAGATAAAGTCTCTTTAGTAATTTCTGTGTTATCCAACACGATGAGAAGTTTTATAGAACGGCAGTTAGATTATGTAGATGGCTGTTGAAAAGATATCCTTTCAAGAATAGTTAGCCACTCGATTAATCTTCATCTATCTTTGCTTTTACCGATTCAACCTCTTCGCTACGGTTTCTTCGAAACTGAAAGCAATTTTGTTGTACAGTTTCACAGCAGATCTTGTTAATGCACGAGAAATATGTGCATGAATATTCAACCCTTTTAATGGTAAATGATTTTAACATCGATCTCTCTTGAACTTTATTTTATATATTTCCGATTCTAAATTATATATTATATATATTTTACAAATATTAAATTATTTATTAAATTTAAATTTGTGAAATTCATACGGGTTATTTTAAATTGGTCACACCATTAAATGGGTTATACGTGCATATTCGATGACTGGACATAAAAATGTCATAATAAATTGTATCCTAGATTTCCATCTTCCATGATATAATACGCAATTTTTTTCTTCGCCCGTAATAAGATCTTAATCTGATAATGTACAAAGTAAAATTTGATATATTTTGTTAATAAATTTTTAACAATATTAATACATCCAATTTTCTTTATGTCCATCGTTATTCGTAATATAATACGCATAAACGAGAATAATAAAATTTTTGCTAAAAAAGAATAAAAAGAATTTTAAACAACTAATTTTACAAGTTTTATCAAAAATATAAACAGAAGATAGAATATATAATAGCAAATATTTTTGAAAGGATATCTCTTTTCACACAAAAATACCTCGGCCGTTTAAATCGCGTTTTATCAAAAGTTCCAGGGATCGTCGTTCTTCGAGAATTTCAGGGTCGTGTCCTCGAATCCTGCGAACGTTCGATTATACAGCCCTCGTTAATTAACTGTTTCCCGTGAAAATTAATTGGAAACGTTCGACGAAAATTAATTAGCTCGGATCGGGTATCTGGAACATCATCTGATTGTATCGTTGTACACGTATCGAGCGTTTTACTCGCTTGCACACTGGACCCTTTCTGACTTGTTTGTATATACTATATATATATACTATATATATAGTATATATGTCTCGCCATCGGGATATATGCATGCACACATACATACGCGTAGTTGGAAAGAATAATCCAGAAAGAATTGGAGAACTCGAAGCGTTCAACAGGGAGTTGTGTACAAGTAGGCTTATGCTTCGACGCGATGAAATATCGGGTCGTTGGCATATCAAGGATTTTTCTTTCACTACTTCACTGTTCGATAGAGGATGCGTGTTTATCGTAAACGACACGAATATTCACTCTCTTCGTCTCTCGTTCGTGGTTTCTGCTATCTTTCGAGATTGGTTGGAACGAGAGATATGGAAAATAAAAGAAAGAAGCGGAAATGCAAGGGAGCAAGAGAGGGGGAAAGCGAGCCATGTAGCCTTAAGCCATGTGTCCTCGCTGAAGCAACAACGAGAAACTTTTTGGTGCCTGGTAACACGTTTTTCGAGACACGTTTTTGCGCACATCGAGGCAATATAATTGGAGGAAGTTTTTATTTTAATTTCGAAGGTTGGCACTAAACGATCAGAAGTTTTAGAATCACCTTTACGATTCGAATCTATATTCTAATTTCGTTGTTAAAAAAAATTGTTCAATCTCCGTTTAATCTCGATCAAATTCCAATGATTCCAAAAACTTTTGATCAGCAATATATGTATATTCGCTTCTACCGAGAAATGTTTCGAAAAGTAACGATTTCAGCTCCCCTCGTTGCTGACGCGGATTTCCTTTGATATTTTATTGCAAGACGAAGCAACTTGCAATAAAATCGTACGATAAAATATCAGCAAAAAATTTCCCTCCCTCCCCTCCTCGTCATCGTTGGTTCATCGAGGACACTGCCTGGAAATCAACAATGTAGTAGTAACGATCGCGAAATCCGTTAAAACGCGACACCAGATAGCCGCGCTTGTATTGATTTTTCCGTTAGTCACGGACGTACGTGTGTAAGAGAGAGAGAGAGAGAGTGTGTGTGTGTGTCGTTCACCCGCCTCGTCCAGGAAATTCGAAGAGAAATATTCGTTATCGATAATTTCGAAATTCGAAATTTATACGATCGTTCGTTCGTAACAATTTTTCCAGAGAAAGGTGTTTCGCCGCTATAATACAGTTTCCTGTGTATCGATTTGTTATATACGCCGATCCGAGGGCGATACATACGCGTATACATAATAGAGGAAATCGGTAATTCCCTTTGTCGAAATGTAGAAGAAGCAAGCAAACAAAGGTGGGGAAACGAGAGGCGTGTCCGATCGATCGATCGATCGATCTCATCGAGCCCCCACGCTCTCGAAACTTGGACGTTGGCGATTTCGGACGCTGTCGCTCGAGAGAGGGAATTTGCGAGCGTGTCCTCGCGACCTTCCTTTTGTCACGATCTCGAAAACGCCAGCCGAGATTGAACACGACAGTTTCGAGATTTGCCCGAGTTAGCCCCCCCGCAATTAGGGCTGCTATTAGGGTATTCCGTAGGATTAGCCGGCGATACTCGAGTTCCTGTCGATGCCCGACCAGTGGAAATCCGGCTCGACGATCACCGTGTTAAAATAATGATAATAACACACGTGTCGAGTTTCGAGCCGGGATTTCGAACGCCGTTTTTCAAATTTCCCGCCGAGAAGCTTTCCGCGCCTCGCGAAAGCCGCTTTGTACACGTGTCGTTTTATCATTGATTGGATCTTGATTCGTAACGACTCGTTCACCACGGATGCACCAATCAAATCCTCCACGTACCTTTTCTTATAATAAGTAGGCTGAAAAATAATGAATCGCGCCGCGATTCCTCCTCCTACGTATCGTCGTGGCAAAATGTTATGTCCTTGCATAAACGGATAGAATACGAAACGTGAGCATCATGATTGTTATATAGAATATACATGCATACGTATATTGTGCGTCGAGAGAAGCCACGATTATTATTATTATTATTATTATTATTATTATAAAAATAGAAGAAGAAGAAGAAAAAAAAACGATGAATAAATTAATTTGTTCGTTGATGAATTGTTGCGCCAAAGTATAAGTACGTACGAGTGAAGTAATTTATCTGTATCGTGTGTAATAAGGGATACGATAAAGAGAGATCCTCTCTTGTGAATATAAAAATATGTTTGTTTGAACTGAAAGAGGATAAGAAAGAGAAGGAGGAAACGAGGGAAGGGGAAAGGGGGGAGGGAGGGGGTGGGTCAAGGGGAAAAAAAATCGATATCATCACTATTTTGCATCAGGAGTATTGTAAATAAAATAAAAAAATAAAAATAAAAAAAAAAAAAAAAAAAGAAAAAAGAAAAAAAAACGAAGTAACTACT